AAGAGTAAGATCCAGGTTAGAGATACCCTACTGGACTGTCAGGTCCCTGGTTTGTCTCTCATTTGCCTACAAAGACCAACTTCCTGTTAGGCAATTGTGATTAGCAGAAACTTAACTGAGGGAAACAAGCACATTCTTGACCAACAGGTTTTCCCCCTTTGTCAACTAATTCAATGAACAACTCACATGCAACTCAGGAGGAAATCTTGTATGAAACTCACTGCTTAGTCTGTTAAAGGTCAAATCATCAGCTTTGCTAAAACAAGAATCAAAATCCTAAACCATTCGAACGTAAATCACAATGTCCGATGTCAATGTGACTAATCCCCAGTCTCTTTCACCTGAAAACCCCAACAGGACTTCTCTGAAGTCAGAGTGCAGGTCTAATTATGTCTAACTGGTAGTTCTTAGTCATTTTAACAGTACTTCCCAGGTTTCCAAGATAATACCGATTCTGTATGATCTCATCATTTTCCCCCAAAATGGCTAAAAATAACTGAATTTTAGGCCTCTGTAAAGCTTCACAAATAAATAGATACACAACTCGGGGGGGAGGGGGTGCAAACCTCTTCACACCAACTATCTTGATTGTCCTTTACAAAATACAGTCCCTGTACTTGTGGGGAATGTTAGTGTGGCAGGCAGGTGCTGAGACAAGCCTCACATACGTATCTCATACAATCCTCCCAGTAGGTCGAACAATGCCTACATTTTCTTATTCTTCCAGATAATAAATCCACACCACAGAAAGGTTAACTTTCTTCAGGTCACACAGCTGGCAAGAGACAGAGCCAGGCTACAAATCAGGTGTCACTCTCAAGCCCACACCCTTTCTGCTACAGCATGCCTCCCTGAGGTCACAGAACGCTCAGAACTTACCGACTGGCGAGTTCACGTCAACAGATCTGAGCGGAATCTGGGTTTCCTCAATACTCTATCAAACACACTCGGGATGTGCAGATACCAATGTGTATCTGTGTCAAGTTCTGTAAATACGGTGAAAATGTCTATGGATGTCTGTAACACACCACTCTCCTCTTCCCCTTACATCTTTTCTCCTCTATTCATCTCCACCCTTGGCTTAAGGTTATCAAAAGGAAATCTTAAAAAGGTTTCGCAACAGGAAGAAAACAAACAAAAACCTAACCTTGCCTTAGCTCAGTGGTTGAGTGTCGACCTATTAAGCAGGAGGTCACGGTTTGATTCCAGGTCAGGACACATGCCCAGGTTGCAGGCTCGATCCCCAGTGTGGGGCATGCAGGAGGCAGCCAATCAATGATTCTCTCTCATCATTGATGTTTCTCTCTCTCTCTCTCCCTTCCTCTCTGAAATCAATAGAAATATATTTTAAAAAAACACACCTAACAATTTAAATTAAAAAACATCTACACACCTAAGTTCTAAGCATTATGAAGTATTCAAAGGACAATAAGACAGAGCCACTGAACACGATCACAGGCTTCTATAATAAACAGGAAGGTATGGTTAAGTATTTTAAGCGTTAGGAACAGATTATTATGAGAATTAGTGATATAGGTGAGAATTTTCAGAAAAGAGAATGGTTAAGATATAGGCAGACAGCAATAATGCATGTAAACAATCAACCAAAAAATTCAATGTAACATTTACCAAACACCTACTACAAGAAGGCATCGTGAGGAGTTCGTTTATCATTTAACAGAGAACACAAACAGGAAGCTAGAATACAAGCCCGGAATATGTGAAGTGCCACAAAATAAATGCAAAAAGCCAGAATTTATTCATTTCATTGAATAATGACTATCATGTAGGCCAGCGGTCACCAACTGGTGGTCCGTGAGGTCCGAAAGGCTGGCGACCGCTGATGTAGGCAGTGCTATAGGTAAGAAACCAAAGTGGTATCTGCCACCATAACATACATTGACATCAGAGGTGACATCTAAATTGTTTTGAAGGGACAGGACTCTATGAGAGGATTGCTGGAATCTGACCTAAGCCAGTTTAGCCAGAGAGCCAGCTATTCGGTCCTGCCCATGACATTAGCCTTCAATACATGGGCTTCGGTCAGTTCACATGGGTGCTCACAAAGGAAACAGTGGGAGCACAATCAGAACTCGGGTCCTTCGTGCTTTGGCTGGAAAACGGTCTGAGGGATGTGGGAAGGAAAGCCAGGAGGGAGGCTGGAACTGGAATTAATAGGACTTGAAATGCTTGCTTTCTCTTAAAAGTGTAAATATTACCAGCTGGAACTCAGGATCCCAGACACCTCCCAGCACAGAAAGTTTGTTTCTAGAATTCATAGAATCAAACAGCACGACTCAGAGGGACACATGTGCTATTCTGTGAACCTATGTGATGGGCTCCCGTGCCAACTCTCTCCATTTTCAGGGTATAGCATCAGGGGTCAAGGGTGCCAAGACTCGTGTGCTGGGTCATGGTTTGTTTGTTTGTTTTTTTGTCAAATCTGAAAGGACATGTTACCTACTTCAAAATCGGGGGCAAAAAATAATATGTGTGAGCCACTGCCTCTTGAGGTAGGTCAATGAGGCCTATGAATATGTATATTGTTTATTTCATTTGAACCCCACTTAAACATTACTTTGTCTGTTTAATCTGCATATGGAAAATAGCACACAGCTAGACTCAGGAGCCAATTTTAAAGGAGTTACTAAACAACCCACTTACTCCACTTAGAAAGCCAATGACAGGACGGGAGAAAATCCAAAAAGAAAAAACAAGGAAATGCTCCAATATCTTCACTTGTTTCTTTCAGCTCCATGGCCTTGTGGCCCTTCTTCAACAGCTCTAAAAAGCATCGACATCACACTGATGCATTTTACTTATGGTACTATATTCAAGAGAGAACAAGGAATGGCTCACTTAAGGTCCCTTAGCAAAGAGCGGAACCACTCAACAGCTAACAATAGAGTACAAACTGCCCGTTATTGATGTAAAGTTTGGGGAAGGGATGAGTTCACACCCACAGAGCAGGCAGAATTACCTTCCTAATCATTTAGCATCAACTTCTGCCATCTTCTAACAGAAGATTATCCATCTTTCTCTTCCAGTTAGCAGCTCTGTGAGTGCTTTCTAGTAATGAGGGCTTCATATCCTAACTCAGGTGTTAATAAATATCATGTGATACATATGCACAACTCTCATTTTTTCCAGTGAAGTCCACTGCATTAGACATAGCCCGGTGAATTTGGTATATTTTTCTACCTCATCCTATATAATAAAACCCTAATATGCAAATCGACCAAACAGCAGAATGACCAGTCGCTATGACATGCACTGACCACCAGGGGGGCAGGCGCTCAACTCAAGAGCTTCCCCCTGGTGGTCAGTGTGCTCCCACAGGGGGAGCACCGCTTCAGGTAGGCAGTAAGGAGCAAGGAGTTCCGGACTGCAAGAGCCCCGGACTGCAAGAGGGATGTCTGACTGCTGGCTTAGGCCCGATCCCTGACCAGCAGGTGGATATCCCCCAAGGGGTCCTGGACTGTGAGAGGGTGCAGACCAGGCTGAGGGACCCCCTTCCCAGCCCAGTGCATGAATGTGGTGCACCCGGCCTCTAGTCCTATATGATAAAAGCATAATATGCAAATTGTTCCCTCCACTAGGAGTTCGTCTGGGAGTTTAACCAGGGGGCAGAGCCAGCCGGGGAAAGGGAGGGAGGCCCTGGTCGGCAGCCACTAGGGACCCTACCAGTGCACGAATTTCGTGCATTGGGCCTCTAGTTAATAAAGCTGATTTTACCAAATCCAGAAGTTTGAAATACAGTCCCATAAACAGGTGTAGCATTGGGCCAATATAAGGTCATAAAAGTTATTAGGTGGCTAAATTATTCACCATCAGCAATTGTAAATATAATTGTCACAATCAAGAGTATATAGTTGAGCCCTGGCTGGTGTGGCTCAGTTGGCTGAGGGCCATCCCATGCACCAAAAGGTCTCCGGTTCCATTACCATCAAGACACATGCCTGGGTTGCAGGCTCAATCTCCACTAGGGGGGTGTGCAGGAGGCAGCCAATCAATGTTTCTCTCATTGATGTTTCTCTCTCCCCCTCTCCTTTTGTCTTTTTCTCTAGAATCAATTTTATTAAAAAAGACACACACACTTTTTTTAAAAAGAGTATATAGTCGATATTAAAGACTGAACCTGATGAGGTAGGTCTGTTGGAGAAGCATTCTTTGTGGACCTGGCCTCAGGCAGGGGTGGAAATCACAACAGAGCTATATTTTGTAGGTTTTAATTACTCTGTCACCAGGGTAAACTAAAAAAGTACAAGAGCCCTAGCCAGTTTGGCCCAGTGGATAGAGCACTGACCCACAGACTGAAGGGTCCCGGGTTCAATTCCAGTCATGGGCACATGCCTGGGTTGCAGGCTTGATCCTCAGTAGGAGGTGTGCAGGAGGCAGCCGATCAATGATTCTCTCTTATCGTTGATGTTTCTCTCTCTCTCTCCCTCTCCCTTCCTCCCTGAAATCAATAATAATATATTTTTTTAAAATAAATAAAAGTGCAAGGAAAAAAGGAGAGTCACTAAGAAAGAAAGTAGAGGGATAAAGATTAAGAAGTTGGAGACAGCCAAGAAATCCATCTCCTCACTTTAATACAGCACGCTCTGAAATACCAAATAGAAGTTATCCTGTTAACCATTAAGTGCCAAACTGGTACAGGCAGCACAATCACAAATATTTGAGCACTGAAGCTGACTCATAAAAATCTAAAAATATTTCATACTTTAGGCTTTCAAAATAGCATAAGTTTAACCCCTTCCCCTCCTTCAATCATGTTCTTTGGAAGCCAATGTAAAAAATATTTTGAACCTACTTCTGAAAACTGTAATTAAAATGTGGTGAACACAGAAAGCCGCATGCAATTAGATTTTAAGGCTTTATCATTCCTACATCTGATCCTGGATTTACTGGATCAGTTAAGTAGCTGTGCTGTCTACTACACTAAAATAAATACATATACGTTTATGAAAAGCATTGCCTAAAAGTCTTAATGGCTATCCCTTTGAGGGAATATCAAAATCTGTATATAAAAAGCCATTTCAAAATTGATCTAGATTAACTACTAAATTCTATATTAAATTTTCTAAGAGTCCCAGATTATAATGTCTTTAAAAGGCTGACATATCTTTTCTGCCAGAGACCAGCACAATCTTGTAAAATCAAGACATTTTTAAGTTCTGAGCATAAAAAGACAGTAAATTTAGGCTGAAGACTTTTTTAACCATACACCCGAAAACACTACGCAGATTACACTGTGTTTCTTATAATTCTTTTGAAAGTAAAGACACTTATATTTCAAATCATTAGAAATGAAAGGAGCACAGAACAGCCAACGTCAAAGAGGTACCAAGTCCCACGTTTTCTAAGAAGTACTGTAAACACACCCGTAGGCCTATGTACCACATTTGTCATTCTACCCAAGACATTTTACCCAAGTAACCTACAGGGTTGCAGAATGCCAAGGGCTTGACTACAATAGCTCCATAAATTATACGGAGGAGGAAAAAATTACTTAACAAATGAAAATCAAATAAAAATCCTCAAGTGACAGTATCCCTTAAAAAGCAACCACACGTGCGCACGCGCACACACACACACAAATTAGAAACTACTAGAGCTTTTTTTTTTTTTTTTCATAGTACTCAAGAATGCTGGAGAAGTCTAGTCCTGTGAATTAGGCAAGGGACAGCAAATATTAAGCGGCCTCCCTGTTGACGTTACTGTACTTCCATTTTTATAACATGCTTCTCCACTCCCCAGACACCATCGTCCACGGAAACCATGCAGCCCTCCATCAGGCTTTCAGTGTCACCATTGATTATTTATAGCGTTCAGTGGGGGAAGTGGCTCTGATGTCACCGCCCCTGCCCGGTGGAATCACTGACTCAATAAGCGTTTTCCACGCTGGAGACCATCCGGCTGGGAAAACATGCGGCCGGGTTAGGCAGCCTCTTCCACCTTTCCCCTCAGCCCTCCCCGGTGGAAGCTGTTACCGTGTCGGGAGAGATACAGAGAAACTGTCAAGGTCTCCACAGGAAGGAACCCCGGGCTTGTCCATTGCTGAGGCACTGACTTCCTCCCCAGCCCAGCCTGATTTCCCTAACGTTCAAATTGGCAGGTAATCGCTGCCATGTTTTATTTCTCCCACCCAATCATCCACCAAGTAGCCGATCACTCATGGTCCCGTTTCTAAAATAAAAAATAAATAAAATAAAATAAAACCCCTTCTGGCTCCAAGTCCTAAGGGGGAAAGGGATCGGGGTGTCCGCGGGGACGAGGTCTGGTCTGGCTAGAAATGGTTTTTAACAGAAGAGTGATCGCTCCCCCAGGGGCTGAGGATTCTTTTCTTTCTTTCTTTTTTTTCTTTTCTTTTTGGAGAAGAAAGAACAGGCGGGCGGCAGTCATGAGGACAACCCTCCCCCCCTCCTCCCCCATTTCCTAAAGCGGCTCTGGCAACGTGAAGTTACTCCTGGGAGACGGAACCCGGAGTACCTGGGGCCTCGCTATGCAAACCTCCCTTCTCGGCCCAGTAGGAAACCCTTTGTCCGAGAAACCGGACATCACCGAGGTCCGGGAAAGAGGCCCTTCATCCGCCACAGCCTCACACCCCGGAGCTTCCCACCCCCGCCCCGCAGGGCCTATCCCGGCACCTACACGGCTCTAGGCTGGGGAGAAGGTGGGAGAGCCCTGCTAGGGCGCGGAGGCCCGAGGCCCTGGCCGATCTCCTCCGTCCCCCCTCCCATCACCACCTCACTCGGCCTAAGTGGGGCTTGCAAGAGCGGTGCAGGCCTGGACCGGAGAAACAGAGAAAAAATAAATCCACTTCTCAGAGCGGGAGAAGGAGATGCTAGAGCGAGTGTGAGCTAAGGACACAGCATTAGCGAGCGAGGGTCGTTCGAGAGATGGGCCCCGAGACAGGACTGGGGGAGGGAGGAGAGCCGAGGGGCCGGGCCACCTCCGGCCTGAGATCTCGAGGGATCCGAAGGGACCGCGCCGGGCCCGAGGCCAGGGAAGGCGGCGAGGGGAGGGGGGGAGGAGGTCGGGGCCGAGACGGCGGGGAAGGGCCGGGGCCGGACGCTGATGTGGGCAGGCCCGCCCGGGGCCGGGCGGACGGAAGAACAGACGGTCCAGCGGGCCGCACTCACCATGAGCTCGATGGTCTTGTCCTCAATCACCGAGTCGGGCTCCATGGCGGCCCCGGCGGCCCCGCCTCGCTCTCCCCGCGCAGCAGCGAACCGCCCGTGCGGAGGAGGCGACGGCGGAGGCGGCAGAGGCGGAGGCGGTAATCGCACCCACTCTAGCTGCCAGCCCGCCCGGGCCGCCGGCAGCTCCGCCCTCCCCCTCGGTGGACGCAGTACGCAGAGCGAGAACTACAGCTCCCAACAGGCGCCGCGTGCTTCGCAGAGCGTTGTGGGAACGGGAAGCCGACCTCTCCGGGCTCGGAGCTGAATTCTGAGCCGAAAGCAGCACTGGGTAGTGAATGCGAGAAGTGCAGACTTAAGGGTTCCCTCCAGATAGAGCCTCGGGAGTTCCATGACTACATGTCCCAGAAAACCCTGCGCGCGGGTTCTCCTTCCGCTGCTTCCTCCTGACTTCCTGGGAGCTACAGGCAACTCAGACCGGAACGGAAAGTCCGAGACCCACTATTCACTTGTCAGAGATCCTGCGTTTGCGACCCATTTCCGCACATGCGCGGTCAGTGTCCGCGGCGCCCATTCGACGCCTAGGTAGGGGCTAGGCTGGTCAGCGGGCGTTGGTGGTAGGGACACGTGTTGGAGACAGGTGGGTTCTAGGTACTTTCGAAGGGAATGGGCTTAGGGCTCAGGTGGGGGAGAGGGCGGGCCGGCGAGAGAAGCTCGGCAAGGGAGGAGGGTCAACAAGGGGCATCCCACTCGGGCATCCGGTGAGGAGTTTGGAGGTTTAGGTGGGGAAGAGGAGGTTTGTGGAGATGAGCTGTGGCGCTCGCTGTCTGTATGCACCACGAACTGGGAGGGGCCGAGAGATGCAAGGGAATCTGCGTACATTGAGCCTCTCTTACTCACTTATTCGTTCAGAAAACTTCCAGCCACTGCGGGTTACCAGTCTAGACACGGAGTCAGCTCTGAACATCACACACAAGGTCTCTGTTCTCGTGGAGCTTAATTCTAGGGGGGCGGGGGGCGGGGATTAACCGAAAGAGTGCCGGGCGCCGAGAAAGAACGCGGCTGGAGACCTGGAGACGCCTCGCGAACTCCGTCACCGGCTCTGCGAACTGTGTCATCAGCGCCTTCCCATCAGAAACCGCCGGGGACGCAGCGGTGGCCGAGCCAGCCGGGTTTCCTGCTGGTCGCTACGAGGAGGACGAACACTCACCCTGGGGGGCGCTGGGACGGCGCAGGGAGGGCCCTTCGGTGACTTGGGAGCGGGTTTGAGGAAATGAGGCTGTACCGGGATTAGATGGTGCCGGGAGGCAGGCGTGGGCCTCTGGTTGGGGGTCTCAGGCGCTCTGACCTGGAAGGGAGGACCGGGACACCGAGGGTAACGCCGTCATCGGCCAGTGAGCAGCAGCCCCGCCTCTTAGTGAGGGGGGAGGATGTGCGGTCGCCTGGGAGGGGGCGGGGGTCGGACAGTGTGTATGTTCAGGTATCATTGAGGAGCGGTCTTGTTCTGGTCTTGACCTGGCGGGGTTACAGAACGGCCTAGTCTGGTGTCTGTGTTCCGTGAAATGACTCTATTCAACAGGAGCACGAGGCCTGGTCAAGAAGGCGAGGCTGGGTCATGTAGTAATAGAGCGGCCTGGCTCTAAGGCGGCGGTTCTCAACCTGTGGGTCGCGACCCCTTGGGCGATCGAACGACCCTTTCACAGGGGTCGCCTAAGACCATCCTGCATATCAGATACTTACATGACGATTCATAACAGTAGCAACATGACAGTTATGAAGTAGCAACGGAAATAATTTTATGGTTGGGTCACAACATGAGGAACTGTCTTTAAAGGGCCAGAAGGTTGAGAACCACTGCTCTAAGGGATCAGGCCAGCGTCCAGATGTCAGAGGCTGCTTTCTCTTTCTCACGTGTTGTTTGTTTTTTTTTTGCATTCTCTGCACCTGTACAGTGAGGGGACTAAATGAGCTAGAAACCCCACTTCCAAGGTCCAGGTTATTGGTTGTTTTTGTGCATGCAAGACACCGTGTAAGCGCCTCGCAGTCGGCGTTTAAAGTTCCGTGACCCCTGTCTCGTGCTTTCCACCAAGGGAACAGAGAGAAAAGCAGTGATTGCCATTAACCTGCTATCCGAATTTCATCGGACCCCCTCCCCTGCCTGGGCCTTGGGACATTCGTTAGTAAAACAAATGGGTTGCAATAAATGACCCAGTGACCCGTGTTTCAGTGACCTATCGCATCATCATAAAACACCCCCAAGACTTAGTAGCTTAAAATATTAGAGTATTTTTCACAGCTGTGTGGGTTGACAGGCGTCAGCTGAGCCCACAGAGTATCAGCTCCGATTACTCGTGGGACTGAAATCAGTTGGGAGCTCATCAAAACAGCCTCTAGGGCAGTGGTTCTCAACCTCGGCTACACATAGAATCACCTGGGAATCTTTTCTAAATCCTGATTTCTGGGCCTCATCCTCTGGAAATTCTGTTTCTTTGTTATGGGGTGAGGCCACAATATTAGTCACAAAGAGACAGAATTTCCGGAGGATGAGGCCCAGAAATCAGGATTTTATAAAGTTCCCCAGGTGATTATAATGTGCAGCCAAGGTTCAGAACCACTGCTCTAGGGCCTCCCTTTCCAACTGGGTTATCATCTGTCCGGCTTCTGCAGGATAATTAGCTTTCTAGAATCTAAATTCTAGGTTCTAGAGTAGCGGTCGCCAATCTTTCGGACCTCACAGACCACCAGTGGTCCGCGGACCACCAATTGGTGGCTGCTGCTCTAGAGGACATGGCCCCAATGAGCAAATGCTTATTAAACCTTTGCTATTGTCTCATTGGCCAAAGCAAGTCATATGGCCCAGCCCAGAGTCGGTGTGGGAAGGGACAGAGTCCGGGTTCATTGGGAGCCACCAGTGTGTCAGCCAACCAGACTTCTGAGGCCCTTCACAGGGCCTAGCACATAGGGTTAGGGCAGGAGTCACGAGCTGAATATGATCCCTCAAGACATATGTTTATCACACTGTCTTTTCTATTTTAAAACTTGACACTTTCACATTTTAAAATCTGAATCTCCAGCTTCTCTCAAAAATTAAACCCTCTGTTCTGGCCGGCGGTTGGAGTGTCAGTGTTTAGGTTCTTGGTCAGGGCACATACCCAGGTTGCAGGTTTGTTTCCTTCTCTTCCTCCACTCTCCCTAAAAATCAATGGAAAAATATCCTTGGGTGAGAATTAACAACAAAATAAACATTGATGAAAATAAAAGAGCCGAAACCGGTTTGGCTCAGTGGTTGGAGCATCGGCCTGCAGACTGAAGGGTCCCAGGTTCGATTCCGGTCAAGGGCATGTACCTGGGTTGCGGGCACATCCCCAGTGGGAGATGTGCAGGAGGCAGCTGATCGATGTTTCTCTCTCATCGATGTTTCTAGCTTTCTATCTCTCTCCCATCCTCTCTGTAGAAAATCAATAAAATATATTTTAAAAAATAAATAAATAAAATAAAAGAATCTCTTGGTGGGGGAGGGGGGACTGGAGTGGAACCCTGTAACTATTTCTGCTCCACCAGCTGGCACAGTGACTAACTGTCAATAGAGCACCACAGGGGACACGGCTGAATGAAAGGACTCTTCCTGGCTCCTGTACACATCCTCTTCCTCTGGCCTCCGTGGCACACAGCGACAGTTTGCAGAACTGTAACTCACAGGTGTACGCCAGTGGCGGGGATACCCAGGAGGCGGCTTCCCAGTGAGTTCGGTGGCACCTCAGCAGGCACTTTCCTGCGTGCCAGCCCCAGCCTGTGGTATGTTCAAATCATGTCTTTTCCCGTGATGGTGAGTTAGGAGGAGAGCGCACTGAATTGTGGCAGCTCATTTCCACTAATGTCAAAGAAGGCAGGTCTTTCGAGGGAGAATCTTGTGAAATCGTAAGGGTGGTGGTAGGATTGTATTGAAGGTAGCAGGTCTGTATTTTATCCACATGACAAGGCTTCCTGCCTTATCGATCTATCTGTAGAATTCGGGGCGGGGGGGGGTGATATCATGATCTATATATATTTGCACATTTATTTGGATTGAAAAAGCCAGACTGACAGTCTAATTTGATTGACTGGTTCAATAGGATTGGCATTGCCAATAATGGGTTGTTAGATTAGTTAAATCTTTAGTTCCATGATTGTGTGGAAAATATATTTAAAGCACAGAAGTACAAACATTCATCAGTTCACTTACTGGCAAACATATTGAAATTAATATTTGTATTTTCCCCTACCCCTTTTAAACTTAGGTTGAATAGGACACCAGCAATTGGAAAAGTAAAGAAAAGTTGTATTAGTCAGAATACACTATGCCACATGAGCAGATCATCCTGTGTATCAGAGAAGCAGAACCAGGAAGAGTGAATTAAGGAATATTTTACAAAGAGTTGATGTTATATAATTGTCAAAACTAGTTAAGCAATCTCTAAGGCTGTTGTCTTCCCGGGCAATAGTGGATCTTAAAGTCCACGGGGCAAGCAAGTCAGGAAGGGGAGATGGGTGAAAGGTTGGGGAGAGAAGCACAGGTGAACTGGGGTCAGACTGAAGCCTGTGGGTTCTTATTGCCCTGACCTTGGTGCTGGATGTCCTGCAGGGGCGGGAGCCCTGTCACAGCGCTGGGCGCCCACACCTGCCCAGGAATCAGAGAGGTTGAAAGGAGGCTCTGAGTGTAAGGGCATGTGGAGCCATTGCAGAACCAGCCACTCCTCATACCACGGAGGTGAGTGAGCTGATCGACAAGATGTATTTGGGCTACAAAATGACTGCAGTTTCACTTCCACCCCCCGCCCCAAATCCGTCACAGGAATCTGCCTTGTGGCCCACCCAATCAGAAACAGACAACAAAATCCAGGGAAATGTAGTTTCCTAGCCAAGCTGACCCATTACGAAGTTTTCACACCTTAATACACCTATCTGTTTGTGTGAAGTCCAAAGTGGTCAGCCAGCTCTCTATCTTAAAGTTAGACCATCTGCCATTCATGGTCTCCGGTATTAATGGGAAAGAGGGGAGGTGCACTAGCTATTAACTGCCTTATCTCAGAAAGTCGTTCCTGCACACTGTTCATTGGTTAGTGCCCACTCACTCAGTCCTGAGAGGCTGGAAGGGCTGCTAAAGGATGTGCTCTTCTGTGTGACTAAAAAAGAAATGAAGTAGAATTTGCTGAACAAATAGGATGATCTCTGCTATGCAGGTATGATTAATATTCACTTATTAAATCCCGGTAAAGAGTCTCTGGCATGCTCTGAGAACCTGAATTTCTCCAGTGACAATATAAAAAATCCTTTTAGTAGTCAGGTGGTTCCCAATATTTTGTTCTTAACAAAATTGATTGAATTGAGTTCCCATTTCCTCATCTATAAAATGGGAATGATGGTGTCTTCCTCATGGGTTATTGAAAGGATTCAATTAAGTTAATATGTGAAAACTCTTGGTGGTTGAATGTTGTTAAATGAGAATAATAGTTAACGTCTATAGAGAGAAAACACACACAGAGAGCCAGGCGTGCCTTTCAGAACAGATAACCTAAAGTCACCTGCTGTATGACCAGTGTGCTCAGGAGCTGGTAAACCCGTTCTTGTCTGGCCAATGTGGAGAAGTGTGCCCTGCTTTTCCCACTCCAGCCCAAGAGAAGAACCCCAAAGGCAAATAGAGTTTCTCCCTTTGTTATTTTATTAGAAGCATATTTACATTCTCGCAGTTAACTTTGCAGAGAACATTTTACAAAACTTTGTATAAAGTTTGGGAACTACATAAAAATAACTTCTATCCTTCATAAAGGGAACGTATAAGTTAGTTATATATACTCTGCCATAAATTGACTGAAAAGGAGGAAGTTTCTTCTGTCCCTTACAGAGGAAACGTTAGCACGGCCTGAGGAACACTGTGGGCCTTCTCCGCGATGGGCAGTGCACACTGGCTCAGTTGTGAGGCTGGAAGGCCCAACCAGACCCCGTCCAGAATGACAGGGAACCTGTTAGGGCTCCGGTGGCACTGAGCAGGGAAACAGCAACTCGAATACGATTCCAACGTGAATGGCAAGTCACGTAAGGAAAGGACCAACGACTTGCCTGAGCCATAAAACCTAATACTCATTCTCACACCCCAGGCTGCAAAAGGCAATGTGTTGTAAACAAAGCCCACATCAGCCCCACCTGACCATTCGCCAGTACTGGCCTGCCCTGGCAGAACTGGGCCTACGCTCTGTAGCTACACTGCTGCTGGTTCACATTTTCCAGCACCTGTGCACCTAAGAGAGTCAAAAGGGACAATTGTTTCATTTGTTGATACCTGACCAGTGTCCCGTGTGGGTCAAATCCCGAAGCAGGCGAGCTGGATGCTCACTAACCTAAGAGGACCATCGCCTTCCCACGGCCTCCAGGGCATCTTTCTGCATCTGTGAGACTTGGGCACCCGGAGTCCCTTCTTCTGAATGGCGACTCTCCCTTTGCAAGATCCAGGAGAGGATTACAGCCAGTGCTAAGAAGACTTTGCTTTAGAAAGACAAAGCTTCGAACCTAACCATAAGGAATGAAGGAGAAAGTCCTGGGGCTGGCATTCACTCTGTCACGAGCAGATTAGCGCCCAGACTCAATGTGCCCATATGATTTCTCAAAATCACCTTCCGTTTTCTGTCTTGTTTCTTTAAAGCAGGTATCTTCCTGAAGAAGCCATTCATTTACATTTGTTTCAAGTTAGAAATCAAGGTTAAAGAAGTTTTCTTTGTAAATAAGCCCAATGCCAGTTTGAGCATTTGCCTTCATTGGGTTACCGACGCTGCGGCCTTGGCGGTCAGAATCTGGGAGGCCAACGGATGACCCAAAGGCCCCGGATTCTGTCTGAGCTACAGAAGCTTTGCTTCTGCCATGTTCGGGGTGGAGGAGACTGGGGGGAGCATTAGTTTCTCCCTGATGCTTTTGCTTCCTGAGGACTGCCAGCCCTCTGAAGTATCAGGCCAGACGCCAGAACTCGGAGCACAGGGCAGAGGCAGACAGCTTCCCATTTCACCTGGGCAGATGTGAGATGGAAACAGACTGGGTTGTGGAAGTGCTGGGTGGTGAACACACCCACTTGTCCCTGAACACACGCTACCACATGGGGGCCAAAAGGAATCAGACTGTTCACCCCGTACCATCTTGTGCCTCTGGTGCCAACATGCCCCATGCCAGCGGCTCCACCTAACATACTCAGTGGCTCAGGCAGCAAATGTGCTCCAGCCCACCTGGTACGAGAGGCCCAGGGGGGCGTGTGTGCAGGAAGTGGGAGACAAAATGGCATGAAAGGCCTGGGACCAGGAGAATGAACAGTTCTGGCTCTCCCATTGCAGACATGGCCTCAAGAGGAAAGCAAGTTGGGGAAAGTGGAGAAATGAGGGCACCCCCTGAGCAGCTGGCTGTGAGGAGCCCTAATTCTTGTCTGACACTGCAGGCAATGGCTGAAAAGCCACCAAAAATCACATCATTTGGACGAGCCCATGGTGACTTCAGCGGCAGCACTTTGCACCCACAGACAGCGAAAACTGGTGTTTTGGCAAACAGGAGGGGCCTCAGGGCGACAGCACACTCGTTGCTCTGGGACCCTGACCACACCCACAACCCGAATCACTGACTGCTTGAAGGGGCCTGGGGTTCAAAGAGAACATATATTAAAATTAGGCGGCCCTCCATGAGTGAGCGCCAAGTCAGGAACACGGGTCACTCGGGCAAGGGGCTGGCTTCGAGCTGGTGTGGAAGCAAGAGGGAGGGGTCCTGAGTTACTTGCTCACAGAGAGTGGGAGGGCCCAGAGGCCCGCCGGCCTGCCAGCCACAGCCCGCGTGGCTGTTAGGAAGCATCAGCAGAGCTATAGGGGAAGAACTTGGCGGCTTTGTTTGGGGTGGTGGGGTTCGGGCACTCCGTCTCCTCGTTCAGTTTGAAGAACATCTCCTGCTCCCGCTTCTTCTGGTTCAGATCTTCTTCCAGAGCCTAAGACAGAGAGAGGGTAGATGGAGTTCAGATCCCATCGGACACAGGTCTTCCGACCTCAGGACCCCACCAGGTGGCCTTCTCTGGGAATTTCCCTCCTGGGCCTTGGTGCCTGGGTCACTTGGTCTTCCCTCTTTCCTTCCCTAGAGCTTATCACCCAGAAAGTAAACACCACCTCCTCCGTCCTCCTGCCACAGCCACACAGGAGTTTCCTGTGAGCCCAGGGCTACAGTTTGGGGCAATGCCAGTCTACACGGGGTGTGGGGAAAGCAGGTGCAAATCTGCTGGCAGGAAAGCCTGAGGTAGGAGATGGGGAGAGAGATTTAATAGGGGAGCAGCAATGTCTGAGTTATACAGTGTTCCTAGCCAGGGCCCTGCCCCACAGAAATCACCAGTTGTTGTTTTCAAAACACAGTAAAACCTTGATATAATGAAGTAATTCAGGGGAAGGGGTGTCTGTTAAAGCCAAAAATCCATTATATAATAGAGGAGGTTTTCTGAATGCATGTTAAAAAAAATTGACAAATTAGTTTACCTGTTTTTACTTATGTAGACACATACGTGTAATTAAAATTAAGCATGTATGAAGAGTTTAATTCACAGGAAAATTTTCTATATGTATTTCTGTAATTTTACATCTACTAAACAGGTCTAGGAAATGTGTGCATTCACCAGTCACTGCAAGTGAACAAAGGCACTTAGCTGGGGCACGGCTCAGCTCACCCGGGAACACGGGCCAGCACGTGTTAAAACTGCTACAGACAGGAGTGATTTGAAATTTCTGGTAATTCACACAGACTCTTGGCTCAAGTTCTCCTTTGCTGGATGTATTAATATCCAAGTGTTCGTGGCCAGCAAACATATATGCAAGATAAAAGTAGTACTGTTTAAGCAACAGAAGTCACAAAACCCAGCGCCCATGGGAGCCAGCCAGACGATTACAGGAGTGGAGAGAGCTGGCCGTGAGACAGTAGGGAGTAATGGGGACTGTGTTGCAGGGAAGAGCACCAGCCATGTCTGAAGAGGGCAGTTTTTCTGTTCTAGCTGATGGCTGTCATGTAGTTTGATGGGTCCAGTGTTACCAGAGTTCCTAGGTTTTCAACAGAAACTGGAAGTCCAGATTTTTTTTTTTAATTTTTATTGATTGATTTTAGAGAGAAAGAGAAAGGGGGTGAAAGAGAGAAACATCAGCCTGTTGTTCCACTTATTTATGTATTCATCGGTTGATTCTTGCATGTGCCCTGACCAGGGATCGAACCCACAACTTTGGCATAGTGGGTCAATGCTCTAACCAACTGAGCTACTCAGGGCAAAATCCAGATTTTAATGTAAAATTTAGTTGGTAACTTTCCCAAAAATTTAAATTGCTATGTATTGGCCAAATCTAAGATCTGTAAGCCAATTGTAGCCCATAGGCCATCAGTTTGGGACCTCTGCTATGGGAATACCAACTTGATTCTAATAACTACCACAGAGGGTTTAGTAACTTGCCCAGGGTCTCACAGGTAGTAACAGGGGAGCTAGGACTTTATCCTACGTCACTCTTATTTCAAAGCCTCTCACACACTGTTCTATTCTACCAACCACATCTCTTCCTCTATGTAACCTAAGGCGGGAGATGACAGCCCTGTATCTGTAAGGGGCCAAACTGGAAATATTTTTGGCTCTGTAGGCAGGCTGTGAGCTCTCTGGCATGGCTTCACTGCAGTTACAGTGCAGTATCCACCACAGACAATGTATCAAAGAACATGCATGTTCCAATACAATCTTACTTTCAAATACAGGGGTAGGTTAGATATGGCCCAGTTTACAAACACCTGCTTTTAGGGACTACTTGTCATTCACATTTACAGCCTCAAAAAGGAAGGCTCAGGGGGGAAGACCCGACTTGTCTGAGGCCGCATTCAAGCTATGACCTAAGCAACACTTCACTGACCCTACAAGATATTCTGTATTTACCAAAAGAAATCTAAATTTTTCTAAAAATATTCCACAATGCACAGTCATCTCCCCTGAACCCATACACAGATCTCAAGGCTGCTGACTGTAATGCAAGAGGGTTAAAGGACATTTATTCCAGAATGGAAATCACCTCTGGGTCAGTGTTCTAGCAGCAACCCAGGTCGCTAATGGTAGAACAATTCTATAGGGAATTCTGGAGAGGCAGCCCCCTCAGCAAAATGCAATGCCAGCTCCTCACACACGCTTGTAATTTCTCCCCAAAGCCCAGGTATCCCCATGGAGCAATCTGGGATATGAGGCAGTTGCTAGAGGCAACGTAACCCATTCCTTTTCTGACTTTCTCAGGAAGTGCCAAGGGTATATAGAACCCGCAGGTCAGAGAGCAGGTTAATATTTATTTCCTTTCCAGAGTCAGCCTATGCAGGAGGAGCATTACTGATTTGAGTGTCAAGTATCGAAAGTCTCAACAGGCTGTCGTTACAGAAACGGATGCGTGTGGGCCTGCAAAAAGGAAGTGCTGGGACCCTGGCCAGCTTCCAGCCAGAAAGCTCCGTTAGCACAGGGAGGGCAGCCTCAATTCAAGGACTTCCAAGGGCATTACATAGCTGAGGTGAGCGGCGGCCTCCTGTCCAGACCACAGTTATAGCAAGCTGAGCTGATGGGTGATGGCAGGACAAACCTCAGGGCTTCCGGCCACAGCACCAAAGAGAATCAGGCAGCGCTCTCTTCAGAGAGCTTAGGCGAGTGTAAGGAAATGAGCATGTCCTTGGGCTGAACCATGGGTTGGTGACTTTCCACATAACACTGTACAATATTCATTTCGTACATCTAAGGTGACCACACTGAGACTCTGTGAGGGTTAATTTACTTGCCAACCGGGTACGGCCCTGGTACCCAGTGGTTTGGTCAAACACCAGTTTAGATGTCATTGCGAAGGAATTATTTAGATGTGATTAACATTTAACTCAGTAGACTCTGAGTAAAGCAGATCACGCTCTATATCCTGGGTGGGCCTCATCCAACCAGTTGAGGGCCCCGTAAGGAAAAAGCAATTCTGCCTCCAGACTACTCAAGGGCTCAAGACTGCAACACCAGCTGGTCCCTAGGTTGACGTGACCTGCCCTGCAGACTTCAGGCTTACCAGCCCCTACAACTGTGTGAACCGGTTCCTTAGAATAAACCTATAAATGTGTGTCTTATCTGTATGTACCTCCTAGGCAGACACCTGTGGCACAGCATGGAGCACAGACTACCACTGAGCCCCCAGCCCAGACACGGTTACCTTTTTGCGTGGCCGAAGCCTGTCCCGCCATTCCTTCAGGTTCTGGTTATGGCTCTCGTCCAGGGCCTTCAGCTTCTGGGTTTCATGTTCTACCAGGAGGTGACACTTCTCATTCTGGGACAAATTCCAGACAGAACAGGTAAGAAACTCAGGAGCCAGGAAGTGGGGAGGGGTGGTCAGGGGTCTCCCTAGGGAAAGGGGCCACCAAAGGGCTAGGCAGTCCCAGGACACCTGGTGCTGTTCTTCGTGGGAAAGCTTTGAGCTTCTCCCCATAAGGATGGCGATGAGCTGTAGGTGTTTTGTAGACGGTCTTTACCAAGTTGAGGAAGGTCCCCTTACTCCTAGTTTGCTGCGAGTATTTATCAGGAACAGGTGTTGGCTTTTGTCAAATGCTTTTTCTGCATCTGATCGTGTGAATTTCCTTTTTTAGGCTGCTGATGTCAAGGATGACATTAATTGATTTTCAGATGTTGAACCAGCCTGGGATAAGTCCCACTTGGTCATGGTGTACAATTCTGGGATTCAGTTTGCTAATAGTTTGTTGGGGATTTGTGCATCTGTGTTCATGAGCGATACCGGTCTGTAGTTTTCCTTTCTTGTCTGCATCTGGTTCTGGTATTAGGGTAATTAGGACACCCTTTCCCAAAACACAGTGATGACTGAGAAATCCAGCGGCCTGCCCACTGTGAGGCCCCGGGCAAGGCACTTCCAGCTCATGTCAGAGCTTTACTCCAATCCGGCAAAATGGGACTTGTCACCCACGCCCGCTTTCTGGATGTGGGAACTATGGCTGGGGAAGGGGGAGTGGTTTGGCCAACTGTGTAGCACCCTGGGTCATCAGGTGAGAAGCCTTCCCTCTTAGCAGGGTCTCTGTCCCTGAGCTGACTGCCTTGGGGGAATCTGAGGCGAGGGGGGCAGCGGAGGGCGGTACCTGCAGCTGCTGCAGCTCGCTCATGTTACTCTCGCACTGGGCCGCCATGTCCCGCATCTGGTTCTCGTGTTTTTGCTGCTGCTGCAGCCGCTCTGCCTTCTGTCTCTTCTCCTCTTGCTGGGAAAACTGCAACGGAGAGAGGGGTGGGTGCCTCAGGGACCTCAGGCTGGGCTGGGGGCCACCTCGGGCCGTCCCAGGGAGGCCCTGTCCAAGGACTAGTACCCCACAGCTCTCAGGCTGTGCCCCTTCCCCTGTTTTAAGTTCTCCGTCAGAGCTGAGACCCAGCCCCTGCCCTCGAGGCTGGCGGGGACAGGACACTGTGCTGTGACGTGTGCTAGGACAGCGTGTGTACCACGCAGGAGCCACAGGACGCCTCCCGGTCTCTGAGCCACACTGGTGACGTGCGAGTGGGGTCGCGGTGGATGAGAGGGGGTTTAGCAGCAGAGGCAGCTGCAGGGTAGAGGCACTGCAGTGTGAGGGAGCAGGCATGAGCAGGTCTCGCCAAGCTTCCTCCGTCCACCAGAGAGGGGTCCCGGGGAGGTTATGAGGGTTCTGAGCTGTGTGACTTCCACACCTCTTTCCAAGACTCTCTGTGGCACCTTCTACTTTATGTTCGCCAACCTTGTAAGGTAAAGCTGACCTGTGCCCGCTCCCGCACACCACGGGCCTACCTGCTTGATCTTCTCGCGCTGCTCGGCAGCGCTGCCCGCCCCGCTGATGTGCAGGCTCTTCTTGTACATGGCCATGCGCGTCTTGCCCTCGCTCCTCTGGATCTTGGGCAGCCGCGCCTTCTCCTGCTGCTGCCGCACCTTCAGCTGCTCCACCATGCGCTGGTTGTAGCGCTGCATCTGCTCCCGCTCCTGGAGGGGGACAGGCAGCGGGGCCAGGTCAGCTGCGCTCCGGACACGGGGTGTACGAGGTGTCATCAGGAGCCCAGGACCCACCTGGCCCTGAATGCTCAGCGGAGCAAGGCTGTATCATTTTACACCTGCTGCTAAGTAACATTTCCTGCTCTCACTTTAAAAATTGTTAATAGTGTGGATTCTTCTAAATGCCCTGCCATCTAATCAATGCTGGCGTGCCGTTTCAAAGCTCACATCTCAAAGCAAAATGTACACTGAAACGGACGGTTTATCATTCTGATGGCAGGTGTCAATTCTTATTTTTAGAAGTCTTGCTAAATTCCTTCACCTGACACGTATTTCTATTTCAGGCTTGGTATCAGTGTCACCTCCTGCAAGAAGCCTCCCCTGACTTCCTAGCCGGATTGAGCACCGGGTTCGGAACCGACACAGTGGCTTCGGTCAGGAATTACCCACGGCGGCTGTGCAGCCAGACCTCAGTTATCTGTGTGTGTCCCCACGAAGGGGGCTAAACCGGGACAGACAATCACCCAGATGTAGAGGGTGCACTGGCCACACAGAGCTGGGTCTCACCTGGTCTGGGGAGGTGAGGGAAGGCTTCCTGGCAGAGGACATGTTTAAGTTAATACCTGAAAGTATTCTGAAGGAACCCATGGGGAAGAGACAAAGAAAGAAAGGCGGGGCAAAAGGAGAGAGGACAGAGAAAAGGGCATGAAAGGGACATGGGTGTCAGAGTCAGCGAGGGAGCGGCCTGGTCTCCCCTATTTCTGGCCCCTAAGCCAAGGCAAGACCTCCCCAGGCCTCCCCAGGCCTCCCCAGGGGAAGGGAGAGAGATAGAGAGTTAGAAACAAGCAGATGGCACCCGGGCGGTGCCCCGTCACGGCGCGGGCTCCCACTCTCCCACCCGGAGCCTCACCTTCTCGTGCTTGCGCACCAGCTCGTGCCGCTGGAGGAAGTACTGGTCCTTGAGCTGCTGCTTGACCAGCTGGTGCCTCTCCTGCAGGTGATGCTCCTCCATGTCCCACAGGGCCGCCTCCCGGTCTGCGGAGGACACACTGCCTGGTGAGCTGCTGAGGGCACAGCCCCACCGGGCCCTCCCCTCCATCCCCTACCACAGCCCAGCTGATGACTGTGCCACCTCATCAGACTACGTGGGAGAGGTGACTAGGCCAACTCCTGGAAACTTCCTTAATACCTATGGGTGAGAGCTCGCTACAGCAAGACGTGTTCGGAGTCAGGAACCTGAGGAGCCGAGACCTGGGCTGAAACCCAGCTGAAACCCATCACGGATTTAGCACAGGAAAAACGACCACCCCAGGCCTCAGCTTCCACCTCTGCCAAATGGGCACACCCGTACCACGGAGGGAGAACTGTCTTTGGGAGGCATTTACGTTCCATCTACACGACACCTCAGCTCTCCGAACAGGCAAATGGGAAACCCGTGGAGGACGGCCTCCTCGGGAAATGGGTGAGACCCTCCCTGTCCAGTACATGCATTACGCGGGCAATAATACGGCGTCTTATCCCTGAGGGCTATTAGTCAACACTCTGCTCAGCCACAGGGCGGGAGCTGGTGTCAGACAGAGCACTTCATGGCCTGCAAGTCACAGAGCAGGTGGCGCTCAGCCCACTGCAAACGGTCCGTCTGCCTCACTGCATTCCCGTCGTGGGAAACCAGTCTGTCCCGGGTCCACGGGGACAGTCCACCCCACCGTCCCACCGGTAACACGGCTCTCATGCACATCACGGGACAAGCAGACGGGGCTGTCGGAGACATCCGTGCTCTAGTCAGAGCGCCGGAACACCGAGGACCATTTTTCCGGTCCACACCGAGTGCCGAGCCCTCAGAGCCCGGCGGTGGCACCCGTCTGTCAATGAGCCGGAGATGGCACTGTGTTTACCTCTTCACGAAAGCCCACAGGCTCCAAACTCACTTTTCACCCACCCAGTTGTTTTCAATGTGGTTCACATAACAGATTTCTAGGCATTAAGAGCTTGCTTGCTTGCTTTGCACACCCCTCAGAACTGCACCCAGCCTCTGCTCCCCGAAAAAAAGATAAAGCCCATGGTTCTGAAAGAGCCATTGCCCTTCAGAGCTCCCTACACCAGAGACTCCCCTCTGAGCCGAGTGCCTCAGCCAGGCACACGCACCGTCCTGATCCCTCTTCCCCGGTGCTCCCCCTGCCTCCTCCCTCTGGCTGGGACCCACACAGTTGTCCCTGGAAGGTCTCATGCTACGAGGGACTTGCCAGCATGCAAACCTGTCAGAACGCCTGCGCACAAGGGTAAAGGGCTCGCCTTCCAGGCTAGATCTGCATTCAAGGCCAACCCTACCCCTCATGAGCTGCAACCTCGGCCAAAGAACAGCCACTCGCTAAGCCTGGTTGCTCATCTATAAACCCGGGAGAACAGTGGGCCTGCCCTGTGTGCCTTGAGGGGGTGACGGGAGGAGTCAGTGCGAGTAAGGCATGAGAATGGGCTGTCTTAAGGGGCGCTCAGTGCTGTCCGCGCCCCCTGCCACCCCGGGCACCCAGCTCACTTAGTTTCCACCCATCCCCATCAGTGCCTTGGTTTCCCCTCCACGTCTGGAATCACTTCAAGTAGCGCCGTGATGATGGGCATCTCTGCCTCGCGCCTGACTTCAGCGAGGGTTTTCCTTACGCTTCACCGCGATGGTTAGTTTTAGTGGGGAGAAGACCCAAGGCTGGATGTCCACCGACAGATTCTAGGCCGCCCTGGGCCCACCCACTCCGGCGCCCGCTCCAGCGCCTGCTCCGGCGCCCACTCCGGCGCCCACCTCGAAGGAGCTCCTGCTTCCGAGTGAGGCACTCGCGCTCCTTGTCACAGATCTCCCGCCTGTTGTCGGCCGTGATCTTCTTCATCGCCAGCTCCAGGTCCTCCTTCTGCTTGGCTTGGAAGTCCCGGTCCTGTGGGCAGTGGGAGGACAGACCTCTGCTCAGCGCTGGCTTTTATTCTTTTTTTTTTTTATTGATTTTTTACAGAGAGGAAGGGAGAGAGATAGAGAGTTAGAAACATCGATGAGAGAGGATCATCGATCAGCTGCCTCCTGCACACCTCCTACTGGGGATATGCCCGCAACCAAGATACATACCCCTGACCGGAATCGAACCTGGGACACCTCAGTCCGCAGGCCGACGCTCTATCCACTGAGCCAAACCGGTTTCGGCGGCTTTTATTCTTATGACAGAAGATAAGTCAGCGTGACCCCAAAGAAAACTTAGGGCACGTCCAGCAGGGAAATGAGACTTAGAGCAGAGCAACCAATGGTGATGTGCGGACTTGGTATGGACCCTGGTTCAAACCACAAGTAAGGGGTGTTTGAGACAACTGGAAATGTGAACACTGACTTGACCGCGAAGGGTGTTAAGCAACTTTTGTGAAGTATTTAAATTTTGGGGGGTGTTCATGGTATTGTGGTTATTTTTTTTAGAGCTACATGAGATTTTTATACCTATATTCATAGCAGCATTATTCACAATAGCCATGGATGGAAACCTCTCTAGTGTCCTTAGACAGATGAATGGATAAAACGTAGAATATTATTCAGTTGTAAAAAGGAAGGAAATTCTGACACATGCTACCACATAAATGAATCTTGAGGACACTATGTTAAGTGAAATAAGCCAGTCACAAAAGAACAAATACTGTATCATTCCACTTATATGAGGTTAAATTTGTAGAGACAGAAGGTAGAATGGTGGGTGCCCAGGCTGGGGAGGAGGAATGGGAAGTTAGTGTTTCATGGGTGTAGAGTTTCAGTTTTATAAGATGAGAGAATTCTGCAGAGGATGGTGTTGGTTGCACAACAGTGTGAATGTGCTTAATACCAAGTGAACTCTACACTTGAAAATAGTTAAGATGGCAATTTTACATTATGTCTACTTTACCAGAGTTTTAAAAAAAATTTTAATGAAAACATGCTCAAGGTCATTAATCATCCGAGAGATGCCAATCAAAACGACAATGCGGTACCATCTCACACCTGTCAGAATGGCTACCATCAACAAATCAACAAACGACAAGTGCTGGCGAGGATGCGGAGAAAAAGGAACCCTCGTGCACGGTTGTGGGAAAGTGAGGGTGTCCTGGGCAGAACATGAAGTCTGGCGTCAGACTGAGTTTGGGGCCTCGGCCCCCACTGTTAACTCTTCAGAGTCACCTCTAATTCCCTCCTCTGCAAAGGGAGGATGAAGCTAAACCAGATCATATACAAAGCCTTTGTCAATGTTGACTCTAAATTTATCCGCATTTGGGGGCAGAGGAGACAGGATGTACCAAGAAAGTGAGAGCATGGCCGACAGGCTGGTAAGGCTGGGGCAGAGGGACTGAGTCAAGGGGGAGAGGCTGGCAGGGGCCGGGCCTGACCTGCAGGGCCTCGTAAGCACATGAGGAAGCCGGTCTTATAGACAAAGGCGGAGCCACTGAAGGTTCTCCAGGCAGGGCTGTGGGGGAGGGTGACATGATCACACTTGCTGGTGACAGAGCTGCAGAGGAACAGGAGAGGACGCAGGGAGACTGGCTGGGAGGAGGCGGCAGCAGTTCCAGCAAAAGATGACAACGGCTAGGGAGTCGCAGAGATGTGGACGAGTTGATGGATCCAGAGAGAGTTTGGAGATTGGAAAAAAGGAAACCATGTTTCAGGAGGTGACAAGGGACTGGAGGAAAAGGAGGTGCCAGGAGGTCAGGCTTCTGGCCTGACAGCCAGGTGCAGGACGGTGCGCTCTCAAAAGACGAGAATGGGACCGGGTCTGGGAGATCCTGGTTTTGGTGTCGCTGAGACTCCACGATGCCAAGTGGACAGGTGGGTGTACTGGGTTGATCGAGGAGCTATGACATACCAACAACCCTAAAGCAAGGCAGGAGGCACGTAAGGCTTTGGGAGAGGGGGATGTGAAGGGCTGGGGTATCAAGAGATGGGAGAACTCTCGTCCAGCTGGAGTGGGGGCAATCAAGGAAGGCTGCAGGGGAGAGGTGATAACAGGGATGACGAGAGGGCGGGCTGGATTTAGGTATTCAGAATCGCAGACGCGTATTCGAGGGGTAGGGTGTAGGCATAACAGAGAGGACCTGGTCACCGTGCAGAGTCTCAACCTGGGACTCCCTGAGCGAGGGGCAAGGACTCACAAGATGCTGCTTTTTCTGCGCATGCTCCTCCATCTTCTGCTTCATGCTCTCCTTCCGCTGCTGCCTGGGGAGCTTCTCCACCTCGTTCTTGACCTGCAGAGAGTGGCCGGGTCAGGGAACCGCCTCACGCTCCCTAAGTCCTGGGCCAGGGACACCGAAGAGTAGGCTCAGGCTTCTAGGCACTGCCCACCCCCTCCTGCGGGCCATTCTGACAGGTGGCACCTACTGGCACATTCCTGACTGCTGACTCCGTTTCCAGACTCCCTCGGGGTAGCCAGGTGCTGTTTTGCTGCTTGGCATTCCTCCCCTTTCTGGTGACAGCACCTCAGACTCCTTTAGGCAGCGTTTCTCAACCCTTTTTTTCATTATTGTCCCCTCAGAAGCCCTGTTGGACATCTTGTTCCTAATCACCCACCCCCCAAAATATGAATCCCACAGATACACTGTCCATCTCTTAAACCATTATAATATTGAAGCTGTTTTTAGCCCCCTTGGTCGTGGTATCACCCCAGGAGGAAGTGCGTGCTTTAGGTACCCCCTCCTCAGTTTCTGAGGTGCAGGTGGCACTGACACCCCATCCCATCTGGCTCTAGGCTGGGTATATGGTCTACACTGTCTATCAGCATGGTGCACAGTGGACATGTGGCCCTCTCTGGGCCAGTGAGAGCTCCAGGATGTTTGCTGGAACCATCAGAGAAAAGCTGCTTGCTCTCCGGCCTCTGGGATTGCTAAGCTGGGAGGATGGAGGCCAAGGTGGGCCACCCTGGAGGGGTCTGCCTGAAAAAATTAACACCGGGAACAATGCCAACTATATGCTGTCTCTAAGAAACTGGCATTAAACATGTAGACGGGTTAAATTAAAAGGATGGGAAAAGATTCTACTGAAACACCAATCAACAGAAAGCAGGACTGGCTATCAGACAAAGCAGACTTCAGAACATGGAGTATTATCAGCAATAAAGAGGGACATTACATAAAAAGGATAGGTCCGTTCACTAAGCAGGTAGGACAATTTTAAATAACAAAGAACTTCAAAAGCAAACAAAAAGGGACAAACTGAAGGAGAAATAGATAAAGCCCCGGTTATAGTTGGAGACATTACAATCCTCCCTCAGTAGCCCACAGAGCAGGTGGATGGAAAGTGGGTAAGGCTGTAGGAGGCCGGAACCACACTGTCCATCAGCTGGACCTACTGGCCACTCATGGAGCGCTCCACCCAGCAGCAACAATAGACGTCCCCCTCAAGTGCACGTGGAACATTCATCGACATAGACCACATCCTGGGCCATAAACAAATGTACGTCATTTTTAAAAACTGAAATTTAAAAAAATATATTATTTAAAATGAAGTTAAACTAGAAACAATTAACAGAAAGATATGAAAATCCAAAAACATTTCAAAATTAAACTCTGAGGCAAACCTTAACCCACAGATCAAAGAGGAAGTTACATAGGAATTAAGATATTAATCAAATCGAATAAAAAAAGATGCAACACATCACGATTTGTGGAACGAGGTTAAGGCAGTGCTTAGCGGGACACACAGCATCACATGCTGACATTAGAAAAGAATAGTCGCAAACCAATGATCTAAGCTTCAACATGAAGAAACTATAAAAAGAAGAGCAATTTAAACCCAAACCAGATAGGAAAGCAGAAATCTATAACACTGAAAACAGAAAATCAATGAAACCAAAAGCTGGTTCTTGGAAAAGGTCCATAAAACAAATAAACCTTTAGCCAGAATGACAGAAAGAGAAGAGGGAGGAGGAGAGGGAGGAGGAAGAGACTAGGACACACATTATCACAAGAGGATGAAAGAGAGAACATCACTACGGATCCTACAGCTACTTAAAGGATACTACAGAATACTACGAATAGCTTTATGCCAATAAATGTAACCACTTAGATGAAATAGACCAATTCCTTGAAAGAAGCTACCAAACCTTTCACTGAAGCCAGGCCCGTGCCCCCGGCACTGGAGCTGGGGACAGGCTTAGCGCCCCCGCTTCTCCCTCCACCCGCCACGTTCCAGGGTAAGGAGACTAAGGTATTCGCCTTGGGCACAGAAGGAAACGCCAAAAAACTCAGTACGCAAGATAAATAGCATCTTAAAAACAACATCCATGACAAAAACTCATGAAAAAAATGTCAAAATTTTAAGTGCAGACAAGATCCAGCCCTACACTCGAAGGACTCAGCCTCACTGCCTCACCTTAATCCTGGTCCTGTCGGATCCTGTTTTTATTTTAAATAGCTGACATTCTGTTCATTATGAAGATGTTGCTCGAATTTTTACTTTAAACCACTGCATTAGAATATTATGCCTTGATTCCCGAGTTTGTTTGGCACCCTCTTAAACCGCGTGTCTGAGGTGAGTGCCTCACTGGTCCTACCCCAGCCCCCGCCCTGCTGCCTCAGGTCCCCTTGGTGACACCAAATGCCATGCCC